AGAGTGGGCTAAGTAGGTGTATATGTAGCCACTGTTTATTATCACAATCATGCCATTGCAAAACAGTGATAGGGCAAGCCCTGCGAGCTACCCAGATTTGTTAGCGGCCTGTTTACTCCATTGGCCGCCTTATCACTCATTTTGCGGACGGACAGACAGACGTACATAAATACACACAAACAAACCGACACACCAAACTTCTGGTTTATATAATGAAGTGATAGGGTTTGGGTTAGTAGCTGGTGTGGCTCTGTCTGGAGCTCCCATTTTGCAAACCTGAAGTTGAACCTATTCAACGAGGAAACAACATGCGTTGTTTTGTAGAAGAGATGAATCTCTTTCGAATGGAATTCGGAATGACGTGAAAACATGTGATTTCAGATGAAAACTTTTTTTGAAAAAAAAATAAAACGACATTACTCATCGGGTTACATGAGACATGCGTAGGCATGGTTCAGAAATTGCCCGCAATTTTGGAGGAGCTTGCTACTAACTCCTGGTTCCATTTTTGTAAAATAATTTCGCAATGGAATTTTGAGTAAATATTGTTATAATGTGTCTGTATTTACTCAAACTTTGATTGATGCCCATTTCGATCTCAATCCAGAAAGACTCTAGCATGTCTCCGCTCTCCTACATATAAAGTTTGAACAGAACAGTTTTAAGGATCATCTTCGGGTGAACTTCGCGTGTCTACTGATGATGCTAACTCGGAACAAGCTCGTAAACGCGACTACTTGCTATCCAAAGCGGATCAAGGCGATCTAATCAATTTTGGAATAGTTCCTGAATTAGTTGGACGGTTTCCAGTGCTCGTACCGTTCCATTCCTTTGATCAGGACGTAGGTTTACCATCGATTTACTATTTAAAGCTTCTTTCGTTATTAATTTTGCTAAAAATGTTGACATCTTTTTGATTGCCTTGATATACACGATCTTAACCAGTGGTATAGTCGTACTGATGACCTTGAACCGGAAACCGGAATTTTGATGATTCATAATTTCCAAGGTTCCAGTAGTAAGAGTCGAAAAAGTTGCCAATATTGTTTTGAATTGGCCACGATTACCGACTTGCTTGTTTCGGTTAGACAGTAGTGATCGAATACATGATATATGGAAGAGGGCAGGGCTGCAGAACATGACGGATGATTTTTTTCTGCCACAGCCAATTTCGATTATTGTGCAAGTCATACTACAGTGAGGAGATCATTGTCGTGCAGAGGATGGGGATATATCTGGATGCTCTTCTTTTGTGTTTCTAGGAGAATGCTATATAACAAACGTTTCTCGCAACTTCAGCTGTTTTCGTTAAAAAAATATGCTGAGAAATTTGCGTAAACACTTCACGAATGGCCATAGAGACAGGCTTCGCTGCGCTTCTGTCGCGACAACGCTCGGCCTAAAGGAGAATCCT